ACAGATGAGGAGGAGGGAGGGGAGAAGAGGATAAAGAAAGGAGCGGAAAAAGACGAGAAGCCTGAGAAAAAGGAGGAGGGGCAGGGAAAGAAAGAACGGGAGGAGGCAGGCAAAGAGTCTGAAAAGAGAAAGAAGACTAAGGCAAAGTAGAGTGGTGCTCACATGATGTGGAGCTTCAGCTCACACCTGGAGTGCTTTTTGTAGCTCAACAGTTTCTGGATTTTCAAAATAAAAGTGCGGAATAGTTAAAAATAATAAATTATAAAATGTTCTTAGCAGTCAGTAATATATTAGCCCACCTGAGTTAATTATAAACACTGTGTGTGCAGATGAGTTCATAAGTGATAAATATGAGCTGAGCTTTGTTGCACTCAGTGATGATGGAGCTACAGCTGTCTCACTCAGGTACGCAGGTCAGGAAAGTGGAGTTTAATTCTTATTCAACAGTCAGAATATAGTCAGTAATCCTCTGTGTGATACGTGACTTTGTGCGGATGTCAGTGCATTTACAACTTCAGGTACCCAACAAAACAGTCAGTAACAGGAAGTTTACTTCCAATGCTTCCTTTTTCTGTGCTATTGGGTGATTTTCAGACCGTAGATTGTGAGTCAGTCTGGGCAGCAGCAGGAATCGATTAAAAACGACTTGGAGAATCTGATATGATACACATATATCTTACACTGCCTAACAGTGAGCTGTGATTTCAGTCTGTGTTTTCACTGAAACATGCCCACTCTGACCAGTTCACTCCCTCAGTGCTTACTGGGCCACTAAGTATTCACTGCTCCAGTGTTTACCTCAGAACAGACTCAGTATATCACTGTCAGCTATCAGAACCTTTGGCTAACATCAGTACAGACGTCATACACAGGTTACTATCATGGAGCATATCAGCTAGCTCCAGACAGATTGTTGGCTAGCAATAATGTTAGCGAGCAGGGCACATTTAGTTAGCTGGTAGTAGCTTAGCTCATAGATGGTCAGGGTGTTTCTAGCTTTAGCTGTGCGCTTGTTACGTTGCCAGACTTATCCTGGAGTCCACTCTGAGAATGAATTAGAATTCAACTCTATTGTCACTGCACATGTAGAGAAAGGGCTCATCACAGCCTTGTGGTGCACCGGTGTTCATCGTGATTGTAGATGAGCAGCGGCTATCCAGCCGGACATGTTGGGGCGGTTGGTCAGGAAGTCCAGTTTGCAGATGAGGGAACTGATGCCCAGGTCTGTCAGTGTCCTGATGAGTTGTGAGGATTGTATTGAACGCTGAACTGAAGTCTATAAACAGCATTCTGGCGTATGTGTTGTTGTTGTCCAGGTGTGAGAGGACAGAGTGCAGTGCGATGGAGACTGCATCCTCTGTGCTCCTGTTCTGGCGGTATGCGAGTTGGTGGGGGTCCAGGGTGGGGGGGAAGGATTTGAAGTGTGCTAGGACCAGCTGCTCTAAGCACTTAGTGATGATGGGGGTGAGGGCTACTGGGCGGTAGTCATTGAGGAAGGAGACATCAGAGGATGTGGGGGAGGGGTTGGTGGTCCTGTAGTCTGTAGACGTGAGCTCACTAGCTAATGTTCATAAACTGGTTCATGCTCAGTGTTGTAACTGGCTAAGGCTAGCTTAGCTTGCTTGCTAATGTTGTCTCTTGCTCCATACTTTAATATCTCGTCAGTGTTTATGTTGTCCTTACTTGGAGGGTTGTTGTGATGTTTGTGCCGGTCTTTTTGGACATTTGTTAAAAGGCTGCTGGGGTATCGTTGTCAGCCTGCAGGGCAGGAGCTGTGGACGCCATGTCTCACACTGATACCACAGGTGAACAGATTCAGACTGGTCCTCACTACACCTGTTCGTCTTCCCTGTGCTGCACATGAAAGTGTTGCTGTCATAGCATGGCTGTGAATTCACTCAGTACTGATCACAGTAAAGTGAGATAAAGTTTGATCTATTTTTGATGTCTAGCATAATTCCAGGGCAGGTGAGGTCAGGTGTGCTTCAAGCAGCTGTGGATCGTTTCAAACCGGTCCGTAAAGTGCACACGCTGTAGTTCCAACTTAAACTGTTACAATTAAAAGCATTGCAGCACCATGACTTTGATCTTGTTTGTGTGTAACATCAGATGAAAAACCTGGATGTGCGCCTGGGGGAGGAGCTAAGAAAGGTATCGATGTGCAGCTGCATGCACGAAGCTGCGCTGTGTTGCAGTGTGGGTCAGACTGATCAATGAAGTTTGAGCTACTCAGCTGTGGTCATTAGAGCATGTGTTTATTGGATTAACAAACTAAAATCCTGCAGACATGTGTTGATACGTTGGTGCTCGATTATCAAAGCCAGCCTGTAGCAATGCATCTGTAAGAAGCTGCTCGAGTTCCTGCTTTCATCTGAATATTAACAAAGGATATAATACTGCTCGTTCCTCAGAGGAGAGCATGAGAGGCAGCTTGCCTGAGACGGATGTTCCTAATGCCATGCTCGTGCTGGCCTGCTGTGTGGTGACCTCTGATAACAGAGTGAGTCTGAGCACGCCTCTTCCTGTAATGACTTTTAATGACTATCATCTACTCCAGACTCTCCAAAGAATGTGGGCTCGAAGCTCCGAGAGGCTCTAAAGCAGCAGGTCGCCATCATCCATGAACGCATAGAGGCCAGGAAGCTCGCCAAACTGGCTCTGGCTGAAGTCCGAGAGCTCCTAGCCAAAGAGGAGCAGGAGAAGGAGCTCGAGATGGGGAGGAAGGAGATGTCAGCCAGGGTGAAGGAGAGGGTGGCTATGAGGCTGAAGGAGGAGGAGGACAGGCTGGAGAAAGAAGAGATGGAGAGGGCTCTGGAGAAGCTACGGAAAGAAAAAGCAAAAGGCACAGATGAGGAGGAGGGAGGGGAGAAGAGGATAAAGAAAGGAGCGGAAAAAGACGAGAAGCCTGAGAAAAAGGAGGAGGGGCAGGGAAAGAAAGAACGGGAGGAGGCAGG